ACTATTTCTGTCGTAACGTGCTTAGTATGCGGAAGGTGCCAAATACACGGGGAGTACAAACCGTAGACGTAAGTGGGGAATTATTGTTATTGACCAATTTTCATCACAAAAATCTAAAAAGTAATATATATCTTGCCATGTACAGACTTCGTTCGCAAATTTTCTTCATATAAAGTATATGTAGTATATGAGGAACGATCATGAAAATGATCCTATCAATATTTGTTCTGTGGCCCATAGACGTCAGTGTACCGCATTAAGTAAGAATTTCTCAAAAATTGCAAACAGTAGGTTGAACATAAAAACGTGTGGAGACAGAGGCCAAATCTATTCGGAAAATGATGCCAAAATGATTGGTATAATAAGAAGCGGATCTATCTAGAGTCCTTCTGGAAGATTCGCTCATGTGGATAAGCTTAATACATTCTCACCAAAAATAATGTGCTACATTTTGTTACTGGCCTTAAAAGCTGAAAGCCTTGGAAATATATTAAGTCAACAGTGGTTAGAATTAGGTGAAAATCGGAAAACGTTCTTGTGTTGACCTTTAATGAAACCTACTCCGAATTTTATTGCTTACTTAAATGCATTAATGTTTTCAATTATGAATGCATGAACAAATTGTTTTGTGCACTTTTTTTGGTTTTTTTTTTTTTTTTTTTTTGAAAATCATTGGATAATGAATCATCTGATCTGTAAATTTATCTTTATATGTAAATATACATGCGTACGTGTATATATATACATGTGTGTATATATCATATGCAAATGTATATATCATGTAAATATATATATAATATGTGACTGTGTACGTATCATATGTAAATCTCTTTATAAACAAATTCCACTACTAAATTATAATCTTGTATGTATAGCAGTTATAGTATAATAAACAGGCTTTATTCGCCTCAGACAATACTTAATTTAAATTTTGATTCATTTTCAGTGCACCGAAGAGAAAATTTTAGTCATACAAGTAATTTCCAATAAAAATTAACTCTTGTTTGGGTTACATAGATCTACTTTTCATGCCCCACTACGTACAACGGTGTTGATGAAGGTAAACAAGGTAAACCTTTGCACGGGAACAAAGTATAAATTTACTAGTACTCACTTTGTTATTGTTGTAAGAAGAGTGAACCAAATCGTAGTGGCCTCCAACCAAAATATCGATACCCATCATAATTGACCAATACATTGTAATTGCAAAATGTTTTGTTTAGCGAGCATTTTAGTCGATCTCTCAATTTCCTACTTTTAGATCAATACATCTTACAGTTTTCATGTTGCAATTTCTTGTCTAGTGCGTAGGCGGGTTGTTCCGCATTCCTTTTCTAAAATCATCTAAAGTGTAAAATGAATATCGAGTGTATAATGTATTTTGTAGTTTTTTGCATATTACGAGCATGGTGAAGAAGTCGGTCACATCGAGTTTCGAACTCGGCCTGTCGCCACCACTTAAAGGTGTATGTACGAAGTTGAAAATTTGCGCATCTGTTTCCACGGCCGCAAGTGTTGCAACTACAGTTTATTCAGAATATTGCTCTTATCATAGATATATATCGGAGAGGATGGCGAAAGGCAAACCTAATCTGGCCACGAACTTCGGTGCCAAGTAAAAAAACATTAATTCGAGTGCATAGTGATTAACAAATTTTAATTATGTCTATCAGTTAACGTTTCTAATAACCCGTATAACGCGTTTTGTAAAAGACGGAGAAACAGATGAACTTGACTGAATAAGCATTTAACTCCAAAAAAAAACTGCAGCTCTAACATAATTATTCTAGACGTTGCAAGATGAAAAGCAAACTTAACGCTCTTCATGTTTCGGTGTATAAAACAACATAAAGTTCAACATTGAATGGCACAATATATTACAATAATAATAATAATAATAATTTTGTAAAATCAAGCGATAATTTGTTTGATATCATACTCGCATACGAAAATTTTTCCTAGTATGCATCTTCAGTATTCACTTTCTCTCTCTCTCCCCTTTCTGCCTTTCCCTCAGTCTCATTTTCACATAGAATACATACAATATATATGTGCCACCCTAACACGTCATCCATTCAGGACATTGATATTGTGTGTAAATAACACATTGTATAGCAAGTTTCGTGCTTACGATGATGGTAAGTGCGAATGTTTTGTATGATTGTCACTATACGTGTTATTGTCTTAAATGATGATTTTGCTAATGAATACATTTTTGTTGATATTGTTATTGTTGTTGTTCTTGTTGTTGTTGTTTTTTTAGTTTATATACAATCAAATAGATTAAATTGAATTTAAGTGGAGGAACTTAGTACATTTTCAGATAATGCCGGTCAACGTTTTGTTTATAACGTTGAATTAACTCTAATCATATTTATTCTGAGTACGTGTGGGTATATAGTTTTTGTGATGCTGGGAGAATCTATGTAATACTTTGCATATATAGGTTACACATGTCACTTTGTGCGCCCCTCCGCAAGATAAGAAAGTATGGGATGAGTTTAGAAGTTCTTTAACAGTTTGCGTAAAGGTTAGTAATTGTTATGCATGTAAAAAATCTTGCATTTTGTATGTTTTGTGGAATGCTATTTATCGCCGTTCAATTGTTCATCGTCCCGCCGTACTTTTATTAAATTTTTTTTTTATTTTTCCAGCACGCACAGTTGAAATTTTCTCAATTTAATGGAAAAAGCTTGCCACGAAGAAATTTTGGAGATTAGCGACTAGTTAAGGGGACCTCACGCCGTCCCGTTCAACTCCATGTTACCTTGTATCAGAGCTTGATTCAGCTTTCATTCATTCTCATTTTCTTGTCAGCCGAACGTCTTCAGCTCCTTTCAAGAATTTTTTATATATATGCTCCGCTGACTCACACCTACCTCCTCGAAGTGATAGTTATGCCCTACGCTATCATTACCTCTAATTCTTCGCTTTAGGAATGATAGAAACCACGATACTCCCCTGCCTTATCCAGCAGTCAGGATTCACGCATTGGTTAACTGCTACTTTCAAACTGGGGACTGGACAAACTAGCCTCCAGCACTGTTTCCACATGGATGTAAATATACAAGTTTCGCTCCGAAAGATCTTGGCAAGCACCAATCTGCAGTAGACCAATGCTGTCACCTCTAACCGCAGATATTCTTCACATAGTGAATGGGTCCCTGACCCCCGTGAAGCTTGAAGTTAGACTATAAAGCCTTTAGCCTTACTTTACGTGACATAGTCACTCTTGCGTTTGGATCAACCGTACAATCCCTTCTAGGCAACACCGGACTATGGTTCTTCAAGATACCTTAGCACCAGGCGCTACGTCTGACATGGCGCGTGAATACCATGCTCTCGACTACTACTATTTCAATCTACTTTACGTAACCAATTACCAGCGGATTTGTATTTTCTTCTTAGCAATAGTCTATGAGAAAAGAGTGCTTCTCCCAGTGTACCCCTAACCTATCTTCCAGAAAACTTGTCGCCAAGTTATAGATAGGCCACTTCGCCTCAAAATCAGCTGAGGCATTCGCAATCTACACGACAAGAATTCAAACATCATAGATGATGGTGGTCCATATTTCGTCTATTACACTTTGTAACGAATATTTTTTAATTAAATTTGAATTTTATTAAAAAGTTACATAATTTTTTTGCACATCCCTATACATATTCTTGATTCTCGGCTTACCCATGGGCACTTGAACATTTTTTAAAGAAATTTTTAAATATATAACTACCTCTCAGTAATGCCAAGTTTACGCAAATACAATCACTCCAAGCTAAGCTCGGACACAGCAGTAAATCAATGCTGTTGGCAAATGTAGCGAAAATGAAAAAGTGCCAAAATGCTTGTTATGAGTTGTTTTTATTTCTTAAGCTATCAAAAGCGGGAGACAAAATTTGAATTTATTGTTTTTTAATTAAATCAAATTAAAAAAAGCTTCAACTTCTATTGGATTTATTTCACGACTCTGACGTAGTATTTGCAATCGTGAGAGACGTTATACAGCAGCCAGAATCACCGTTTTGTAGGCTTTGTGTTTTGGATGATTGTCGTGATAAAAATACCAGCCATCATTAAGAACACACTTATCTACACTTTATTGAAAATTTCTTTTTAGTATAGCTAAGTAGACGGTTTGCTTCATAGTCCCATCAATAGAGCGATCCTAATCCTGCCGCCGAAAATCATTCTCAGAGCGACACTGATTCGCTTCCATGATTTACAGTCCGCCTCAGATTATTCAAAGGAACATCTTCATTTTGTTTTCTCCAAACAATGGGTTTATCATCCGACCCAAAAACTTTAGATTTGCTTTCGTCGGTAAATAAAACATTTTTCTAAAAAGATAAATCTGTATTTTCATGCTCTTTTGGAAACTGCAATCGAATAGTTCGATCACGCGTACACACAAACGTCTTTCGTTGTGCTTCATTGCTTGCTTTTTTACCCAGGTTTTTTTCAGCTATGAACGCAAGTTTTGGTACATTGGCTGCAATAGAAAATTTGTGGGATTATCTCAACAAAAGGTTTAGGAACACACGCTTTTCAGCAAAAAGGGGATTAAAGGAAGAATGGGAAAAATATCAGCACCAAACTTAAAATGATTCTAAAGAACAAGATAATAACTGAAAAAAAGCAAATCTCTTGTGCCCTCGGAGTTTGGTTTCGATTTAATTAAAAAACAATGAATGCAAATGTTGTTCCGTGTTTTTAATGGCTTAATAAATATACAATCAAATATCAAATGATAAGAATTTGTGCGTCTCTTCACTTTCACTAGATCCTCTAATAAAATTTGTTTGCTACAGTGTCCGAGTTTTTTCTGAGAGTGACTGTATATATTAAATGGCATGTGATGTCTTACTTCTTGTTAAGCGCTCAATGCGACCATATGTGGCCATCAAATTCTTCTTCTTTTGCTATGTAAGCTAGTGTAACGTTGTTCCAGTTGTGTTTTCAAAAGTATCTGTGGGTTGAATGCGAGGTGCTAGAGTTTACTTACTTTTTTTTTGTGCTTGATCATTTTCATCTGTTCGTGGACTTTCCTTTACTTGAAATAATTGTAAATTTTTTGCGTATTCCAGAAGCTCTTCGCACTCGTCTGTCGAATGAATGTCTTCAGGAAAATAATCGTTTCCTTTAGACATTTCGCTTAATTTATTACGCTGTCCATAATCAATCAGTAACGACGACGTATCATAAAATTGTTCATTTTCTATTCAATGAAATTATTTGAATAAAAATTGAAACCACTTTACACTAAACTTACTCTAAGCGATAACACTTTTTCATTTATTTTGTGTTTTGTTGTTGCTTTTTACTTTTATTTTTGTTTTTCTTTCTCTCTTTCTTTCTTTTTTTCTTTTTTTTTTTTGCAATTTCTTATCACTGACGCCACACCGACGTTATATACTCATTTATATATATATATATATATTTGTAAATTATTTCTTATCACATACAGAAACGTTACAGACAAATCGCACAAACATATATTCTCCTCGTTCATGAATTCGAGTGAACGAAGGTGCCCGCGTGCACTTCTCCTCGTACATGTTTACATATTGAACAACTTAGTATTATTTTGTTAATTAAAACCTTTCAATAGTCATGGCTGCGGTGCTAATTAACAGATAACAATGCGTTATTAGTAGAAAAAATCGAATCGGTTAACTTTTTTTACGAAAATTCCAAACTTATTTTTTTATATTTATTTTTTGCTTTATTTTATAATCAATATTTATTTATGAAGTTTTTCTTCTTAACTTTCTAAGCATCTGTGCTCAAAATGCATTACATTTATTATACCACTTGCGACAGAAACTCTCGCATGTTCTTCATATTTCGTCACTAACTGAGTTCACTCAATGGTTCGTTTATTGTAGATGCATGGCAACGCTGATATTTATAGTTTAATATCATAATATTCCCTCTTCTTAATCGAACTAAAGACCTTTCAAACGTTAACGGATTGCGAAAATGAGAAAAACTTAACTAACTAACTCTAGATAGATTGAGAAGTCTGCCATAACAGTAAAAAACATTTAAAATTTGATTTAAAAGTCATTCGCAGTAGTTTTGGTATTCTACGGTCCACCCTATCAGCCATGAATGACAGCTAGGATAGCAAAAATGATAAATGAAGCAGTTTCTGAAAATATTTAGGAAATATTCTCGCATCTCTCCAGTGAAAAGTTTCAGATCTGCCAATATTAGCTTTAGAGTTATTTTACGTAATCACCCTATATGCTTCTATCTTAGCTAGTGGTATGCTACATACCAATTTAAACACAAACAAAACACGTAAAAACACTTTATAGTGGGTCACGGCCTTCCATTAAATACTCTACACCACATCCCACGCTTACTCAGACAAGGACTTTTCATAAGAAAGCGTTATATGGGACGTATTCAAAAATAAAACACATCAGTGTACCAGACCTCATCAAAATATCTCCAAAAAATTCCGATCTATAGGTTGAACTCACGCAGGAAACACAGACAAATGGTTAGACAAGCTCAGAAACTGATTTTGATGGAGAAACTGATTTGAAAAGAGATAGTGTTTTTGAATCGATTGACATAATAAAAAGAGGATCTATCTCAAGTCCTTCTGGGTGTTGCATACACCTGCACAACCTTAATATACACTAGTTCCACAAACAATGCGGGATATAAGAATGATATATTAGTCGTTTTGATTCCCTTGGAAAGACAAATAACTACCTAACCACTCCCGCCATTCGAGTTGTTAAACTTGGCTTAATATAGCAGTAGCAGAAGTAAATCCTTATCGTTTTTTCCAGGAGGTGGCGTTATTTTTTTTTGTGATGTTAAGTTGTGCACTTTACATCGAATATGCAAAAATGCTATTCCCTTTCTTCTTTCTTCCTTATCAATAATTCTTTCTGATTACCACTGTGGACACATGTAAATTGACACATGTTTCAGAAGTTCTGGAGCAAGAAAAGAAGAAAGTGTGATTTCTTGTGCCTTTGTATCAAATTTGATATTCTGGAGCAATGGTTACGTTAAAATTCTTCAATATTATAGTTGTTATGAAAAAAGTTTTTTGAGTCTCAAAAAACACCAGATAAAGTGATTATAATGTCTCTGCATTAGTGCAAAAGAATGCAGCGGTGTTCAGTATTTAGACTTTACAGAAAAATACAACTTATCCTGTTCAACAGAGTTCTTGGAAGCTTTACTTTTCTTGCCTAATTTGAGCGAAATTGCTGCTGGATTTTGATCGGTTCACGGAAATCACCAATAACTTTAATGCAGATCGCGGGAATCATTATCATCGACTTTAAAGCCAAATATTCCTGGCAGCTCTATTTAACAATGTTAGCTGGAGATAGGTGCTTGAGCTCAGCGATATCATCGCCATACTGATTTGCGTTTAACACCACTTATCTATTTGAGCAGTGCCTCCATTCTTATGACAAAACTTAACAGCTGAGTCATTTCACATAGAGCTGTAAAAGGAGGATTGTACCGCCTTCGTCAGAAATTTAAAACAGACTATCTATAACCTAACTACCTATAGGATAATATTTTGAACCAAATACTTTCGTTATTCTTCTAAGCGTATATTTCTTTAAAGGAAAGTTAAGAAAAATAACGGATGAGGAATTAGTTCTACGTCTAAACTACAAAATAGACAAACATTTCAAGATATACTCAAGAAAATTCAATTATATTATTTACAGCGTATAACACTGTGGTTCTTGAGATCTTCACTTTTATTTTCCTGTAATAAATCCTAAAAGGGTCCAACGCTTTTATTGCCATACGGCGTAAACATTTAAAATCAACCTTCAGATCTGTAATTCGCTAAAGCCCACCTAAAATCTTATGTCGGGGTCCTATGGCACGGCCGTTAAATAATCCCTTTCACATCGAGCTGTCTGCTTGTATGTATGTAGATTCATTACGATCGCAAAACAGAATGCAAAACTGAATACATATTCGTCATCTGGACGTTAACCTTCATGTTTTAACCGCGTTTAAACGTTAGACCACAGCATTGTCGCCGGATAAATTTTTAATTAGTAGCTTCTCTCTATTTTAAAGTCATGGAAACTTTTTTTTAAAAACATTTACTATGCACTGCCCTAGTACGAAATCAGATTAATCGAATTGTTCAATTAGGAAATTGCTATTACATGTGTACTACGGTGATGGCAGAACAAGGCAGGCGTGTACCCGATTAGTAAATGCCAAGCCTTTACGGGCGAAGCACTCACTATACCTAAAAGCACACACCGAAAGCATGATCTACCGCATTAAGGATTCTACGCGGATATGCCTTGACCTTGAAGGTCGAAGTTTCTCATTACTTGCCTACGCGATTACCCTCACGATGTATCCCATCAAAGGGATACGTGCGCCTGAAACCTGCTTATAGGCAGACAAATACACAATAATCCCAATTAATGTGAGATGTCGGAGTTAATTTTGCTCAATTCGTCTCTTCGTCCATCCAATCATCATCATTAGTCGTTGAAACTTTCACGATCGCGAAAATATAAAGATACAGATTTCAAACTCTTCTTAGTTCGCCATTCGTATGCAAATTCATCATTCAATTAACAAGCGCCTGCACCTAAATATCAGGTATGAACTTGAAGGCAAACGTCATTTAAAATTTCAGCAATTGTCTCCAAAAGGTGATATATATATAATGAACGCGAAAATTGAATGAAGTTTAGGAATTTTTATCGAAAGATTATCCAAAGGTATCCAAAAAGCACTTTCAGGCAAGAAGAAGTTTTTTCATTTGTTTTTTTTATTTATATTATTACAAATATTTACTTATTATTAAAAAAAAACTCTACTTTTGTTTTATTTTCATTTTTTTCTTTTATTATTGTTTGTTTTCCTTAATTCAAAATTTCATTCATTCAAATTCCCATTCAAAGCACCGACTTATCAGTGATAGTTTTTTCTTATTTGTATTTGGGGAAAAAAAAATATTTTTTTTGTGAACGAAATTCATTAACTACGCATTTTAAAACTTTGGTTTGTTTATATGTTGCCATTGTTATTGTTGTTGTTTTAAGTTGTGTATTATTTTTTTTTTGTTTTGTTTTTGGTAGCACCGTTTATTTTTATATTTCAATTAGTAGAGCGCTTAGCTTTTCTACCGATCAAACCGTTTGCACGTTCGTCACCGTTAGTTAAAGATTTTCAACTGTGTTACACATTCTCGTTCATACTGTTCATGATAATGTCCCTGATTGTGTATACGACTTAATGTGCATGCATATGTGTTCACATGTATACTTGCTTGTTTGCGTACAGGCCCCTATTTAGCACACATACTTATCTATGTGCAAATAAATTTAAAATGCCTTTGCATACATATTCCACTGTAGTTTATTATTATTATTATTGTTATTATTATTTTTATTATTATTATTGTTATTATTATTTTGTTTCGACATAGTTTACAATTTAAAATAATTAATACGTCACACTTTAAAATCTTGGTCATCTTGTTTACATATTTACACTGGTTATAAGCACATAAATAGCAATTATTCGTTTTATACAATATTAACGTAAACGTGTTCGTCTTAGATTGAAACGTTCGTTACTTATCAGTTAACTGTTATTGCTGTTGTGTTTTTCTCGATTGTCTAGAACAAACAGAAAATGTGTTTCATCGATATGTATGAAAACGTTACATATGAAAAACGCTAGGTAAACGCTAGGTATCAAAACTACGATAGAATTATAACCAAAAGCAAATGAAAACATTATAATGGGACACGGTCCACCATTGTAAACACTATTCTATAATTATTCATATAAAGATCTTTCAGAAGTAAAATATCGTATGGGAAATGGGCGAAAAAGCGGTCTGATCTGTATCATTCTCATTAGCGTACGTCCTTGAACCAAAACACGTCAATGAGTCAAATTTCGTCGATATATACGGAAAAAGCAAAACTGATAGATGGACAGACGGACCGGCAAACTTAGTAATAAAATAGATCTATAAGTCCTTCTTACGGTTGCATACATCCGCCAAAGCTTAATATACCCTTTTACAACAAGTGGTGTAGGCCATAATAATACCTATATTTTTATAAATATTTTAACTAAATAAGTGAGAGACCATTTATAGACATTTTTGTTATATTTATTTAAGTGTCAAGAGGTGAAAATCGCCTTTTTAAGAAACTAATTAATAATTTGAGTTTTCGGAAAAGGGGAAAAGCTGTGCTATTTATTTGACGTATATCGCAGTTGATCAACGTGACAAATTAAATTTCGCGGGCTTGGTTTCGGTAGAACTTGAACGGTAAGAGAAACAAATCAAATTTACCGAATAACGCACTTGATCAAGGTTATTATTCGATTTTAATAAATATTGTACTTGATCAATGACATCGCTTTGGTTTGGATATGGGATTTAAAACATTTATCGATTTTGATTAACGTTGCACTAGATCAATAACGTTAGTCAAGTTTACCGATTATGATGACTGGCCAACGAAATAAGTCAAGCTTAATGAATAAATTGTTAGTTCACTTTGATGGATATTGTATTTACCAGATGGCATTAGTTGGATCTGTATGTTTGATCGATGAGTTACGTTTGATCAACTTTATTAATCGACTTTGATAAATATTGCGCATGATGGATTAACTTAGTTATATTTGCCAAATATAGTATTTGCTTGGTCATATGAATGGGTTTAGTTGATCAATTCATTGCTCATTGTAAAGAAAATTGATTTCCTTTCGAATGGAATAAACTGGAGTGTCTTCCCTTTCTATTTCCTAGAAGCTTAAATGTTTTTCATATGACCAATCACTAGTGGGAAAAGAAAAAAAATGGAGAACGTTCGCAGCCTAATAAGTTTGTGTCCAATCGGTAAGTTTTATGCCTTCACCGATTGCACACTCGCTATAGCTACGACCAAGTGTGCTCTACCGTACTGACATTTAAGCCCGCGAACACTGAAGACATTGAAGAACGGCCAGACCAAGACAAATTTTTAATCATAGGCTTCTGAGTCGAACATTATCAGCTTAGATCGTTTTCATCATTTTCAGAGATTTTTTATAAAACAATTTTAATGCAATTATCAAACTTAAGACGAATCCTTTGTTCTTTGCTTTCTATTATTTTTTTTGTTTTGTTTACCATTGTTTTATTTTTCTATCTACCAATCGATAGTAAACATCGAGAATTATGTAAGGAGTTGTCGTAGTATAATTTATAATCTAAGCGGGAGCTTTAGAAAATTATTTCGAATACTTTTCTATATATATATAATGCATATAGATATTATTTGACAAGGCTACGATTCTGAGCAAACTTTATTATACGCGTTCTTCCGTTCTTCATATAGTGTTTTCACATATCTTTAAACACTAAAGTGAAAATTTAAACTGGGCACAGACAGTCTTAGTTCGCTTGATGTAACGAAACTCGTAAGCATAATCTCAAGCTACATTCTAACTCATTAAAATAGCAAACCTGAAAACGAATTACTTTCGACAACAAAGGTCAAATAAAATTTTTATGTAATGGACTTTTTTTGATAGCTTAACTAACATTTGCAAACAATCCGCATAAGCTCATGTTGAAACATGACATAGTTAAGGCATAATGATGTGCCTACACTTAACACAATATATTCGGTGAGCACAAGAGGATCGATTGCACATTATAATCAATAGCAATAAGATCGTAGAAGTGAACAAAACTTGATTAATTCAATTTTCACTTCAATGTTAAGTAGTCGAGCTTGATTTATGTGTTATTTGCATTTCTTCTTTCTTCTTTCACGAAAGCACCGTCGTAGCAGCCATCCATGTGAGATTTTCACAAATTTTTTTCTTTAATGTCGACTATATTAACTCTACAAGCGAAGAGTAAAACTCGCAAACTCTCTAAAAAAATTAGGTGTAAATAATCACGCCTAAGGCGTGGCAAAAGCATTTTCAGCAGCTGGGACGGCTTTGTACGGTCTGTAGACCTTTTTCTTTATAAATAGTAAATTATTAATTACTATTTATTATTTGGTTAAGATTTGCTCAAACGTCATTCTCATTAGCTTACAATAAAAAAATTTTATTAAGAAAATTTTTCTCGGATT